TTCAAAACAGTAAGGCAAGTCAAATCCACTTTTTTTTTCATGAAATAATCGCATACAAGCTACAAGATTAGCACATTATTTCTAAGATTACAGGCATGTAAGATTTGAACATTCTCTTTATCTCTAATGTATAGTACTATATCTAATTTCAATGCATAATAACTAGTTTGCTTGAAAATCGATATTAAAACAGTAATATACGCACATAGTAAAGCTACTGTCTATGTGTAGTAAATTATTTACAATTAATTGAAGACAAAATTCTAATATAGAAGTATTACCATTTTAACGTTCATGTTTACATCATATTTACTCTGCTGCGCATATCTTGTCCCAGGTTATTGACGTAGTAATCAGCTACAACAATCATCAATCAATTTAATATCTGATATTAGATCTTTGTTTACTTATTATACGTATGTACATAGTCTTCTTTTGAATGAAATTTTTAACTTGCATTTCACCAACTGTCCTGTATGTACTTTGTAGGTTCTCTATTTTCTTTTAATTTGTAATTTATAAATATTGTATAGTAGAAATACATAATAAATTAAATATAAATAGTGTATGTAGAGACCATATTTAACTTTCAAATGCGAACCCCTATTTGATGGTTAGCATTACCATTATTCTTCTCGTGTTAAAATATATAGCTTAAGGAAGCTACATGAAAAAAAATTGTTTAAAGAATTTTTTGTTTATAATCTGTACAATACATATTTGATACTTATTACCCAAACTTTTAAGATCAATATTAATTAAGAACTTCGATAAATTACTATTATTTTGAATTGTAAAAAAAAATTGAAAAGGCATTACGAGAAAGCATGTGAATTGAATAACTATAATATTATAGACTAAAAGTTATAAAAAGACGAAGAGGATGTACTTTTTTGAAATTAAAAAAGACAAGAATCAGATAGAAATTATTTTTAGATATTTCTGAGAAATGGGATTTTTGTTCATTAAAATTTATATTTTAATTCGTATTTGAATTATTAAAATTTTTAAATGGTCAAATTACTTTGGCTGATTAATGCACCACTAACCTGGCACAATTCAAGGGGTGCGTGCAATAAGATAGTTATTGTATGTGTATCTTGAATAACCAGTTATACAGATGGGTTTATATTTTAAATCTGTAAAGATCACGGATATGAACCCGTGTGTAACTAGTTATTCACTACATGCCCATACAATAACTATAATTTATTAAATATACAATTATATAAATTTCATTCGTTGAATTTAGAGTATTGCTAATATTTTTTTTGCAGAGTATTTTTGCATAAGATAAAAACATTTATATAGAATAAATTAAAATTCTAGAATATTCATAACTTTATATTTGTTGTAAGTGGGAACGGAATTTAAATGGATTTGGAATTTCTTAGGTTTTTAGAGTTAGAGTATAGATTTTTATAAAATAAATTTGCCCTAAAATTGTAATTTTATTAAGAAATTCCAAATCCACTTAACTTCCCACTTACAACACATATACATGATTCTAAAATTTATAGTATATATAATAATTCAAATGCAAAAAACCATAACATAAATAATGAAATTCTAAAGTTAACCAATCCATATTTTTTAGCAAAACATCTCTGAAGATAAGTATAAGTTTTATTTTCGTTTGCTTCCTTAACAAAGGTGTCCAACAAACCAATATATTCTTCATATGTTATACCCAAATATTCTGGAATAAAAACAAAACTTAATAATAGTCTACGAAGATTGCTTATCGACTATGAATAAAAAAAAGTGGGTAAACCCGATTAAAATACGTATTATACATGTAATAGCATAAATTATTGATATTATTATTTTTACTTACGTATTTACCAAAACATCCAAACCATTCGCCTATTGGATATTTTATTTTAACGCATTGTATATTTGTAAGTTCCTCATTTGACTCAAACATTTTTGGAATCAAAGCACTAATTCGAACATTAACACCTTTTTTTTTCATGCAAGCTTTATAAACTAAAATAAACAAAATATGTTTTAATTAATTAAATTATTTATTTAATATCTTTGCACTATTTAGTGCTTAACTAACCAGCTTCATCTATCCATTTTGTAACCTTTCCATAATTTATAAATTGAGCAGTTGCTTCTAAAGATTTTATCCAATCATCATATTTTAAAACTCTGACAATATCTTTGATCAACTCAAACCATTGTGACTCAGAAGGCCCAAATAAACAAAGTCAAAAGTCTCCATAGGAAATGGAATTCCATAAGTTACATTGGACGTTAGAAAACCGACATTTGGAGGACATTTATCATTCAGAGGAAAATAGAAATAATTTATATCAATTCCTATAAATGTTGAAGATGGATATTCTAATGCCATATCAATTATCCAAT